GCCTATGGCCAAAAGGCCCAAAACAACAAGCAACCGAGTAAAATGGCCCTGGGTACGAATTTCCAATAAACTCGCACCAGGCCTTTCTTTGAAATCTTGCTCTTTGCTCCATATTTCATTCCATTCTTTTGGAAAGGGGTGTATTAAAGAAAATGAAAAAAAATGTTCGTTCTCTTTAAACAAAATGCGAGTTGAATGGGGTACAAATATTATAACAATGATTTCAAAAACGGTGACAGGAAATTATTTGAAATCACCTATATTGATAAAAAGGTCTTAATCTAAAACGTTCTTTTTCTTTCAAATTTGGAGGGTTGAGAGTGCAATTTTAATATTAGTCAATTTCTAGAAGTATCCAAAAACTGATCATACCAGAATAACGGCTTCACGCCTCATCATGGAGGAGTAAATTTTTTTTCGAGTTACAAAAAGGACTTTTTTGGTTACATTAAGGAACAGTTCCTTTTTGTAACATGAATTTTTACGTATAAAACGTAAATAAAATAAGATCTATTAAAGACAGCGCCTCGAAACTTTGGGACTATGTTTTCTGACATTTCAGAAAACAACATGCAAAAAATCAAAGCGTTTGAATGAAAGCTGGTCGTTTTATTAACAAAATATTGTGCTATTTCATGAACAAAAAATTTTAATAGTTGATTTTGACCAGAGATCAAAGCTAACCTAATGCAGATCTTACAAAGTTTTATTTCACCTCGTAACTTTTTAACCAAATGCGTGGGATAATAACGGGTATTAAAAGCTTGTTAAGGTTACTTACACGCTCTCAACCTGGCATAGTTTGGTGAAAAAAGATGAAAAATTGAGCGTTTACACAACAGTTTTCCTTTGTGTAACATACAAGACCTATTGCTGGGAATAATTGTAAAAAACAGGACCACAACTCATATCTGAAGTAATTATGTTAAACAGCACTATTTTATCACCCTAAGAAATAGATTTTCTGTTAAACTTATTAGTTTTTCTTAAAACGGTAAACATAAATAAAAAAGGTTACAAGAAGTAACCAACATCTATCTATTGACTGACTGACTGACTGACTGACTGACTGACTGACTGACTGACTGACTGACTGACTGACTGACTGACTGACTGACTGACTGACTGACTGACTGACTGTTTCGTTTGAATTTCCCCCACAAAACATTAATAGAAATAAAAAAGGAAAAAAAGAAAAGGTGATCTTCCAATATAGGCCGTGTGCATGCACTATATAAAAATATCATATAAATTATCAATAAAAAAGAAAAGGTGATCTTCCAATATAGGCCGTGTGCATGCACTATATAAAAATATCATATAAATTATCAATAGTTTTTAATTAGTATATATTCGCTTTATTTTCGTTTTAAAGCTAGAGATACCTTTCGATGAGCTAATTGCAGTGGAAAAGTTATTCCAATTAGCCTCTGCCCCCTGTAGGCAAAAGCCTTTTTCATATTGTTTGATTTTGGCTTAGGTAATGCCAAATTTAATTCGCTATTTCTCGTATTATGAGTATGCATTGAATTCGTGTTTGTGAAAATTTCAGTTAAATGATTTGGTAATCCCTTACGAAAAAATCCTATAGGATCCTATAGGAATAGAATTCCTATAGGAATTTCCTATTGGAATTACTATAGGATCCTATAGGAATAGATTTTCTATAGGAATATCCTATAGGAATAGAATTCATATTGGAATTTCCTATAGGAATTCCTATAGGAATTTCTTATAGGAATTTCCTATAGGAATTTTCCTGTAGGAATTTCCTATAGGAATTCGTATATGATGTTATATAGGCCTAGAATATTAAGAATCCTATTGCTGCTATTATATATTTTTACTCTGTTTTTTTATAGCAAAATACAAAACAAGTGTAACTCAAATGATCGATATCGATCTACATAGCAGACCTTCCAACTCTCACGCATTTTGCGTGAGACACACGCATTTGACATATTTCTCACGCTCACACGCATAAACACTATTTTCTCACACAAAAGCGAAAAAATAGGAAGCGATCCAACTTTTGTTTTAACGCTTCTCTTGGCAAGCAAATATTCCTATTTAGCTGAATCAATAGCTATAAAAATAAAGTATTTTTCGAGCAGTTGCTGTCGGTGTAACGTATAGTATTGCGTAAGTTGCACTGTTGCGCAAATTAGTAAATTGACACTTAGTTAATGAGGGATTTCCATGATAACGCATTAAAAGCAGCTAAATCTGCTACTTATATGAATACAACAAAGCACATACGCGCAAGCTATAACTCATTAACATTTAAATTTAGAATGACTTTTACTTTTTAAACAATATTAACGAAATAAAAAATAAATGAAACTTATAATTGCATGCAGATGTCCAAAAAGTGTTACTTTTGAGATTTTTTAATGCCATTTTTGTACCTTTAGAATTCTGTTAATCTTCTCCCAAAATGCAGGAAATGGCATTTCAGAGACTCCAGATTTAAAAATTTTCCGGGGGCGCATGCCCCCGAAACCCCCTAGGTCAACGCCTCCCAACAGCAGGCGCCAGCCCGCCGTCAGCGGGCTATATGACTCAGATTACAGGAAATAACTAAATATCACTCATTTTCATGCCACAAAGTTGGAAGGTCTGACATATATATATATATATATATATATATATATATATATATATATATATATATATATATATATATATATATATATATATATATATATATATATATATATATATTGTTATCGACCTTTAACTGGAGTTTCACTTGTTTTATATTTTGCTAAAATACTCAGTGGTTATGTTTTTAGTCTCAATGTGTTTAGCTAGCTAGGATTTCTATATTATAAAATTCCTGATGGTCCCTAATGCAAGCATTCCTATTGGAATTTTATCCCAAACAGCAATAGTTCGCGCTTCAACTGGACACCCTGGTGACTAGTTTACTTTTCAGAACGCAAAGCTTCATGGGATAGCATCGTTTTATTTGTGATAAAAAAATATTTGGTATGGTCACTGCGGTGCTTGGAATATTTCGTTGATATTTTTAATCCAAGCGGTGGGAAAGGAATCGGAAAATTCTTAACATGTTATTCAGATGTCACATTTAAGAATACTTCTGTATTTGACTTATTATTTAAGCACTTTAATTGCAAAATAATATGGTGAATATGATTGTTAACTTGAGCCATGTGGGCCATGTGTAAAATTCCGTTGAATGTTTGAATTTGCCGCGTTCAATTTGCATATAAAACATACAAAATGTTGGTTTCTGGCAGCAAAGAAAGAATGAAATATAAATTCGAACCTATTATTGTGAATTCTATACTAAATTTCACACTATTATTAACAATTTAGCAATATTTTCTTTGGCATAACTTGGCACTTTGCTTAAGAGTATTAAGAGTTAAGACTATTGTCAAGCTGGGTAAATAATTATAAGAAATAATATTTATTAAATATCCGAATGCTTTTAAAGATATGTTTGCATTTTAGTACTTCAATAAGGATTGGAATCAGCGAGAACGACAGCATTTAATATGCTATTTTTAGTGTGTCAATATAAATCTATCCTTAATGTGTCAAGCTCAAGTCCTCTACTGTATTGCATAATACTCTGTCCATAAAAATTGTCAGAAGATTTTACTTGTCAAGGGGGTGAATCTTTTAATAGTGGGTTTATTAAGAGCTTCACTTGTATAAAGTGATGTTTGCAATGATAGTGCTGAGACAGTGCCTCAAATGTTGTCTTTGTATATTTCAAGATTAATATTTGAGCTGGGCAGTGCTTGTACTGTATGTAGCCCCGGCTCCAAATATTGTTCTCAATAATCAGCAAATATAATCAGATTCACTAACAATAGTCCATAGTTTATTTAATATGTGCTTTATCACTTTATATATTAATCATACATATCTGTGGCACAGCATTGATAGTTTTGGATGGCCTATATTTTGCCGGATGCCAGTAACCCAATCCAGCATATCCCTACTCTCTGCCCACGGCCATGTCTCTGCTTAACATAGGCCTACTATACATATTACAACTTTAAGGATATTATTTGCACTTCACTTGGTTGGACTAGAATACTCGGTTTGGTCGATAATACAATATATATGCAGAGCTGTAACTTAACACTTGCCCGCTTGCCTGGGGCAAGTGAATATCATGACGGGCAAGTACACGTTTTATCTTGCTTGCCCGATTGGGCAAGTTGCCTTGCCACAAAAAGCTGGGCATCTTGATTGATTCAAAGTTGGGTTTTTTTGTGGCCTAAAATAAAGCAGTGGGAGAACGGGTCGACATATTGCCCCCTTAATTCATACCCCCTACCTAGGTATCCCAGTGGCCATTGTCTGATGACAAGTGAATTTTATTCAGGGCAACTAATTTTCATGTACAACTTGCCCTGAGGGCAAGTGGTCAAAAAAGTAAAATTACACCGCTGATATGTATAGACACTATTCAATTAATTAAGACCTAGGACCAGGAATCGCAGGGCCATAGGTTTGATTACTGCCAGAGGACTTTGTAGTTTTAGATTAATCACCAAACCCAGTATACATATTACACCCTGCATTACCTTGTACCAATATGAATAGTCATGTTATGTAATTCATGATGATTATGACAAACTATGGAGGTTATCTTATTTCTGGTTTCTGACTGGCTAACAGCCAACTGTGGAATTGTAATATCAACTCATACCAAAGACACATTTATATAGTAATTGAACACACTAGCACTGCTTAACACTACCTTGTACTTAAGTATTTTGATATTTAAGTTTGATGTATGTGTCACATGAGACAATTTTACTTATTGACTGCTTGTCCATTCACCTATTTATACCTAAGGAGGTATATATGCAACCCAACCTTAAGATGGTATGGTTTGTCTTAAATTAAAGAATGGAGTGACATTTTTGTTTTGGAAAAAGTAATTAAAGGGAGCAAAAGAAAGGCAATTTTCCCTATTACTCCCTACTTTAAGTACTTTGATATTTAACTCTGAAATGTATGTCTCGAGCTCATGTGAGACAATTTTACTTATCGACTCTGGACTGTTTGCCCAAGTATCACTTATTAATACCTTAGGAGTAATTATACAAGAAATGTTGGATAGTTATATCCAATCTATAGGTTATATCCAATCAGGTAGGATTGATAAATATCCATCAAATTCATCTATGGTATTCAACTATATAAGGTTCATGCCTCACTTACTTTACACAACGACAACAAGAATCTAGTTATAGTTGTGATCACTATAACATATATCGACAACAATAGTATATTCAATTTGACACCAACCAATCAAATGACAGAAAAACATCTTCTGTCTCATAGACCAACCAGATTTACACCCGAAATACAGTTGTACGGCATGGACTTTTGTTAATTAAGATTTGTATCAGGTATATTTATATATTTATAGGCCTGATCACAGATTAGATCTTTGAGTGGCCCCACCTACTGTAGATGCACTGTAATGTGAAACTGTGTTAACTTACACGAAAAATTGTCCATTTTCTAGAACATGCAATGGATGTTAAAATACAACAATATCGGCTGTCCTGTTTATAAAGAAGACATTGTAAAAGCAATAAAATTCAAGCTGGACAACAAAGAGCAGGGAAGGAAGAACAATGAATTGAACAAGAAACTGAGATTAGCTGATAATTATACATTATAATTTTATATGGTTACTAATTCAAACAGCCGATTATATTTAGTAATTATTTGTTCATTTACTTAATATACAGCTAATTCAATGGACCTATGACAAAAATTTCATCACAGCTTGAAAGAGCATCACACACGCTTTCTGAAAAAAGGTATCAATTTCTCTTGCGTAATACAAAATAACTGAAAAAACCCGGGAAACTTCGCAGTGCTATATAATATATTAGCCGCATTTTACAACATTTTGCAACGAAACGTCGGAATATTACTAATTTTGTGATGCTTTGTTTAGACTTGTCTAGATCAAATTTTGTTCATCAGGGAATAGGTCCACTAAGGTTGTCCTTCCAAAAACGTAAACCTTAAACTCTGAGCAAGTAAAGTATGTTGGGTTATTGCTTATTGCTTATTCAGACTCATAAACTCTTGAATTTAACCCATTAAGCTCCAGTGCTCTCCCCTTGATGAGTAAAATTGTCTGGCGTTAGACAGAGTAAAATACTCTGGTGTTAGATTGAGTAATTAAAATACTAAAGTAGGGTGCATCAGGGTGTATCGCCACTCAATGGGTTAACTAAACACATGGGCAGATAGGCCAGTTAACCCATTAAGAGCCAGTGCTCTCCCCTTGACGAGTAAAATCGTCTGGCGTTAGACAGAGTAAAATACTAAAGTAGGGTGCATCGCCACTCAATGGGTTAATTGGCTTTGCAAGAATGCCTAAGAGACCTAGAAGATGCACAGTAGAAAACACAATTCCTGCAAAGGCAATTCTCTAAGTTTAATTACGGGCCAAATATTTGAAAACCAACCCATCATCCCTTGCATGCTCAGAGTTTAAGTTTTAAAGGCCTGTTTACACGGGTGATTTTTTCTGCAATTTTCTCCTTTCGGAGGATGTGAAGGAGTAGATTACTTAATGACCTTGTTATGAAATTTCATAACCTGGTACATTTATAACTCATCCACTTCTTCACATCCATCAGAAGAAAATCGCAGCAAAAATCCCCGTGTAAACGGGCCTTAAGGTTTTGGAAAGACAACCTTAATTGAATTAGCTGTATAGTTTATTATTATGCAAACAGCTTGTTATATTTATTAAATTAATAAAATAATGTTATCAGATGAACAAATTTCATGTGCTAGGTGGTGATGTGCTGCATGCATGGTATACTAAAATATTTGTTTCAGAAACTATAGTTTTTCAACTAAACTAGTATAGTTTTTTTAACTATAGTTTTTAGTCAAAACTATAGTTTTCATAACTATGTTTTTGTTCCAAAATACTATAGCTTTTTAAAACTATAGGTTTTGGCTTAAAAAACTATAGTTTATTTTTGTTGCCCCAAAAAACAAAAACTGTGTTCTTTACAAACTGATATTTTAATTTGTAAATAAAGTCAATATTTATAATATATGCGCACTGTCAATAATTTGCTCATCTTTGCATTCAGTTTAGTGCCAGGACATTCAAATAGGAATTCCTTATAATAATCCTATAGAGTATAGGAATTCCTTTAGGATTGTATATGAATTCGTTTAGGAGTGTATAGAAATTCCTTTAGAATCAAAAAGGAATTCCTATACAATCCTAAAGGAATCCCTATAGAATCCTAAAGGAATTCCTATAGAATCCTAAAGGATTTTTTATGGAATCCTAAACGAATTCCTATAGAATCCTAAAGGATTTCCTATAGAATACTAAAGAATTCCTATAGGATCCTAAAGGAATTCCTATAGTATCCTAAAGGAATTCCTATAGAATCCTATAGGAATTCTTTAGGATTCTATAGGAATTCTTTTTGGATTCTATAGGAATTCCTTTAGGAAATCCTATCAAAATTCCTGTAAGAATTCCTATTGGAAAAGTCCGAAAATCCTATACAATATCCTATAGGAATTCCTAAAAGATTCCTATAGAAATTCTTAAAGGAATTCCTATAGGAATTTTTCGTAAGGGTATGCACGAATAAAACTTGATTGAAATAATTTTTGCGCGAAAAATAGACATGTGTTGACAGAATAGGTCGTAAGACTCAGAGTCATGATCACGGCAGCACGCTGCATTTTGCCGAACTTGTTGAAAAGTTGTCAACGGTTGACAACTTGCGACAAGGTTGTTGAGCTCAACAGACTTGTCAGTGGTTGTTTCAACAACTTATTATCGTCCTGCATGCAATGCAACAATTTGGCAACAAGTTGTGAGTGACAACCTTGTAGCAACTTGATAAAATATCAACTTGCGAACACAAGTTGTTAGAACTAAAAAGCTCGGTTTCCCTACTGTTGTGCAATATGCTCCGTTTATAACCGAATATAATTGAAGCACAATTACCATGCATGAGATTAATCAGTTTCTTTTTACAAGGTGTCCTCTTGCTGTCATTACGATGAAATAAACGATGTATTTGCTCTGATAATCGAAATCCAAGCGCAAAACATATCGCCTTGGTTTATGCGTGATGAATTTTCAGCAGAAATGCTAGTTTCAAAACCTTTAGTTAATTAAGCTTGGGTTTCGTCCAATTTTCTTCATATTTCGCAGAAGAAGCAAGGTGTATGCGGCAGGTATATGATTTCATTTTAATTTTTCGCTTATTTCCCTTCGAACACAAAACAGCTTAGCTAGAACGAATGATTAAAATAAAAGTCACATATCACGAATGAAAAAAGAAAATCGATATATAGCTACCACACACACTTTTGTAGAGGCATCATTTGACTTTCCAAAAAAGCTCTCTGGAGGGATTTGTTTCAAAACCATAGCTTAACAAAACGTTTCGCGTGGAGTGAGTGCGTTTTTCCTTCGTACGCACAATAAACGAAACCTTACCAAATGGTGAAATATACTATGTACATTAGCTGATTTAACATTCATTGTACTATAACTGGTCAAAATTTGAGCTCAATTAATAGAAAACACAGGCCGCGATTTCGATTTGTGTGAACTTTCAATTTTTGCTGCGATTTTATATAGGTGCATTTTTCTCCTCCTGATGTATGTGAACGAATGGATGAGTTAGGAATGTTAGATGAGAGTACACATACTCAGACAATTCATGAATTATTTACTCGTTCACATACATCAGTAGACGAAAATCGCACCTAAAATAGCAGGAAAAATTGCAAGTGCAAAATAAGTTCAACGACTCAACAAATTCCACTAGGCATCTTTATTACTATTAGTTTCGTACCGAAAGATGTGGAACTCATCAGATAAATTAGCCTTACGGCTAGTGGAATTTGTTGAGTCGTTGCACTTTAATATTTAATTATGCTCTGGATATCCATTGGGCACTCTGACAAATGTTTATGTAAACAGCGAAACCTTTATATAAATCATTATGATTTAGGTTTTCGAAAGCTTGGCAATTGATGTTCTGGGCATTATTTGATCAAGCCGACATGGAAAATTTTGGCAAAACTCATCCAAGATACAAAATCACAAGTGAAACGGGAAAGTTCCTGTTTGCTATATACCTCATTTTTGCTGTCGTTGTTGGGATTAATATGCTCATCGCAATGATGAATAATTCATTCGAATACGTTGCGGTAAGTCCGGCAATAATATTTGAGAAAGATAGAGGTTAAATTAAAGTTCTCCTTTCGATGTCAAAACCCTGGACCTCTAAGCGCGAAAAGCACAATGGATTACATGCAATCGGCGTAATTCATACTTCCATCTTCCGAAACTATTACGTTGCACAAGCCGTTTTGGTTTTGCGTTACGAATTCCCGTGAGTTCCCATTTTTCGTATTTACTCGCCCGACTAACCCAATTTATTACCAAACCCAGCAAATTCATGGAATATTTAAACTTTTTAACGTTGAAGAATTTTGTTTGTGAGCATGCTTAACTCCTTTGGGAATTAAATTCAATAGCATAAATACCAAGACATATACAGGGTGTATAAAAAACGGGAGACCTTCAGAAATCTAGCATATTGTTAAAATTTGAATGCTTTTTCAATTGCACATAATTATGCTGAACCGTAGTGCGTGAAGAAATTAAAATAACGTTTAAACAAAAGATTGTCTGCTAATGGGAACAATCTGCCATGCATACTTGTACGTAGATCGCATGTTACGCACTCGTCAGTCGTGGGCTTAGCAAAGTGCTCCAGGATTCAAATTATAACAATGGCTGATTTCTAAAGGTCTCCTTCTAATATATGCACTCCATCAATATTTCACGCACTACGGTTCAGCATATGTGCAATTGAAAAGGCATTCAAATTTTAACAATATGCTTGATTTCTAAAGGCTTCCTTTTTTTGATACACCCTGTATATACTTGTAATTTATAATAAACATTATATAAGGGGAATTTCGACGTTTCGAGCGAAGGCCCTTCACTGGAGTTGCTGGCGGGGAGCGGGAAAATTAGACCCCGTTTACACGGTACCGGACGAATTTGTGACCGGACTAAAATTCGTCCTTTTCGGTCGTGTAAACACACGAGAACCACGGAACCGGACGAATTTGAGACCCCCTAACAGGACGAATTCGCGTGTAAACAGGCGAAAAAGGACGAATTTTCGTCCGGTCCCAAATTCGTCCGGTACCGTGTAAACGGGGTCTTAGATGAGCTTTTATATTAATGAATATAAGAGCGATCACGTGACAAATAATGAAATAACTGATCAGACGGATGTAGTCAAAACAAAGTATAAACAAAAAATGTAAACCACATGACAGAATATATTAACACAAATATACCAATAACAATTTATTATAATAACTACAACAAAAACAACAAAATATACGAAACGAGTATGGAATAAGGTTAGAATTAAAACTATTGTTAATATCTGCATTTTACAGGCAAAGACAGATAGAGTTAAACACATAAATAAGTCCATTAATGCGATAACGGTGGGCCAGGCATTAAAATAAGGATTTGTTACAAGAACACACTTTATCTCCACACCAAGGGCAATTGCAAGAATCACTTGGAAATGTGGAACTCAGATTAGCTTGAGCACAAATACTCGTCAAATAAGAAAAGGCTTATTGCATGAATTTTCGTTAAAGTTCAGTGCCTTTTTTCAAATAGGTAAAATGCGGGCCGTCAATAACTTTTCATTTTCACCGTAACTTGATTAACATTAACTCTATATCTTGAGCAACGAAATCAGACTGGTTATGCAAATTGACTAATGCATATATTTCAGTGCCGTACCAGTAAATATATTAAAATTTGGGGGTCACAGAAGCGTCGTTTTCGGCACATTTAGATCGTTTAGACCAATGGTTGAGCCAAGTACATAAATCATGCATGCAGTCTAAATGATTTATAACTAAATTTTCAATTGTCTAATGAAAATCGTTAAAACCGAGTCCTGATTTTTGTAGCATGAGTTCTCCGGATATTTCCATTATCATAAAACCGCCTATAGAAAAATAATTTAATGTTATACATGTATAATGTTATACATGTAATAATTTAATGTATAACATGTTATAAACAGAAAAACCAGAAATATATAAACCACAAATAAATATATATTTTGCTATTATCAGGCAATAAACACATGATTACTTTAAATAAAATTGCTGTGGGAAATGGCTAGAAATGGATTTTCTGGGCTTTATTCCCAAGACCAAGTACATACTTTTCAATTTACAAGGACACATTTTCCTTTTACAAGCTGAGGACACAAAAGTGCGTCAAAAAACACGCTATTTTAATGCCTGGGGTGAGCAGTGCCAAGTTTGGAAATGAGGCGCATTTCATGTCTTTGGCGGCTATCATTGCTTCCAGAATTGGGACGGTTGCCTGGAAATTCCATATCTGAAACACCGTGATTGCCGCCAGTATTAAAATGTCTGGCAACGGGCTGGTTAGCATCATTGCGAATGACTGCACGCCGCTGCTCACTAAACCTTGTCCTCACAAGTCTTACACGTACTATACCTTTGACTCACGAAACCTTGTCCTCAAAGAGTTTACTCGTTTCTCCAAGCGAGCAAAGCCTCTAAATTCAACTCTTTGTTAGGTAACCGTCCAGTTTCGGCCACTATAGTCACACTAATTCAGACGGTGGGACCAATTTCATTGCCACGATTGCTCCCGATTTAACGCTGTCCGACTTTCAGAGATTTACCCTCGGGAAAAATACCACCCAAGCAGAAAGGCGGAAGAGGATTTAACTTCCACTCATCAAACCACCATTTCAAGTCGATTTGCATTACGCACGATGTGATGTAAGAGGGAAGCCGGGAAAACCGATTGCGCGATTGAGTCCGTTGGGATGGTCTTGTATCGGAGATTCAGAAGAGATATCGTCAGCGCGTTGTCCGCTTCGTATATCAACCTGATTTACACGTTCATTGTTAAGTCTGAATTACTCGAAGAACTTAATCACTCGCTGAAAATATTTTGGGAATTGGAATCAGTTACAAAATACACAGAACATCACGTAATGACAGAGAAAGAAAAATCAGCGTTGTCTCAGTTGCATGAATCGCTATCGCTGTTCAACGTCGGAGAGCATTTAAGTTACAGTGCCGTGGCAAGAAAGTCGTCCAATCCTAATAAACAATTACGAGACTGCATTCAATCGCCTCAAGAATACTGAGAAACGATTATCGAAGAACCAATCCCTTGGAACAGACTATACGGTGCAGACAGATTAACAATTCGAATTTATGAGCAAAAGAAATACATCCGCAAAAGTGAGTCCAGATGAAGCTGGTTCCCGAAGGTTAAGTGTGGTTTCTACTCCAAATCCCGGTGTGTCGCCCAGAGCTAGCAACGACGAATACTCGTATTGTGTTCGACGCAAGCGCTAAACATCATGGGTTGTCCTTGAATGATATGATCTTACCAAGACCAAAGCTGCTCAGCAATTTTTTTGATGTACTCATGCGATTTCGTCAATATTCTGTTGCTGTGGCGTGCGATATCCGAGAAATATATATACGGATCCGAATTCCAGCTAAAGATATTCGTACTTCCGATTGTTGTAGAGAGATCTAGAAAGTGATCGACGACCTGATGTCTATGAATTTAAAAGAGTGGTCTTTGGTGACACGTTAGCTCCTTTCCATGCGCAATTTGTGGCTCAAGAAAACGCCCGACGACACAACGAAACCTACTTCCCTGCGGCGGAGACGGTCGGAAAGTTAACATGGATGATTCGTTGGACTCAACTCAAACGGAGGAGGAAGCAATCGAACTGTACGAGCAATTGAACGAGTTGTGGAAGTTATCCGGTATAGAATCACGGAAGTGAGTGTCCAATTCTTACAGCGTTCTTTAGAAAATTTCAATTGAGAAACGGGCAGCAAAAGTCAATTTAACTAGAGAATATCCCTTCGTTTAAAACTTTGGGCATATTATGGTTGGCTGAGGATGATGCGTTTTCTTTTCTTTTCGAAGAAGCCCTTCAATCACAGTTTAGGAAAAGATCTCTATTAAGCCGTGTATTGAAAATATTTCATCCCCTGGAATTTGTGCCACCATTCGTCGTTCGTGCAAAGATTCTATTGCAAGAGTTATGGTCGCAAGGGATAGGATAGGAGAATCCAGTTGAGAACGACGTGTATCGCCAGGCCAAGAGTTGGTTTGACGAGCTAAAAGATCTTGAATCCATAAGAATTCCCCGATGTTTGCACATGAACAATGATGAGTAAATGCTTCGCAATCCGCGTATGGCGCTGTCAGCTATTTGAGAACCGAACATCCGAACGGAAGAGTCGAGGGCAACATAATTGCATCGAAAACTCGAGTGACACCGTTAATGCCAGTGAGTATTCCTGGTCTCTAGTTGTTGGCAGCGGTCTTAGGATTACGGTTAGCATTAGTCATTGCAAGAGCATTGAATCTTCCTATCTCCGTGGCGCGGTTTTGGTGAGACAGTATGGACGTGCTGCTCTGGATTCGTGGACGCGGCCGAGAATTCTTATTTTTCGTGGCAAATTAAATAGAGTTGGATTCATTCAAAATCAAATCAATCTGGAGCAATGGCAATACATTGGGACAAAAGACAATCCTGCTGATATGTGCTCTCGTGGAAGTAAAGCAGCTCAGTGTTATGGTGGCGAGGTTCTCAATTTCCTCAAAAAACGGAATCGGAGTGGCAACTGTAGAAGATCGTTAACGAAGGAGGCATTGGTCGCAATTGAGTCATCGTTGACGTGGTTAGTCCAGCCTACCGTTTTTTCTAGCAGTCCTTCGTGGAGATTGAATCCAGCAAGATTGTCCAGCTGGTAGAGATTCACTCATGTCCTGTCTTGGGTATTGAGATTTGTTGACAACTGCCGTAACACAGTCAAAAGTCGGAGTATGAAGTTATCAAGAACGGAAAATTGCTGTCGACAAAGAACAAGGTTGTTGAAGTTGACGCCTAAGATTGACAATGACGGCGTACTTCGATGTAATGGTTATGTTATGCAGAATTCTTGCCATACGAAGTTTCTTTTCCAGTCATATTACCATGGGGTAGTTGGGTGACTAAGTTGATCGTCAAACATTATCACGAGATTGGCCAACACGTCTTTGGGCACCAACCATCCTGAAAAATCTTAGCAATGAATAGTGGGTAAAGGCAGCACGGGAACGTTAAACAACGCTGATGTGAATGATGAGGAACTATTAACGGTGTTTATTGAAGTTGAAGCGACGCTGAACTCAAGACCACTTACTTACCAGACGGCTGATCCGAAGTAGGGGCAAATTATCTTCTGAGGCTGTTGATTGTTTGGAATTCAATCCTCGACAACGTTGGAGAAGAGAACAAAAATTAGTTAAACGTCTTTGGAAGCGATGGATGGGAGAGTGGCTACGGTTGATTAACATACGGACATAGTGGTGGGAACCGAAACGTGACATAAATGTTGGGGACTTGGTTCTCGCGATTTCTGCTGATCAGATCCGTGGACTTGGCCGTTGGGTCGTGTAAGAGATGTTTTCCCTGAGAAAGACGGGCATGTTCGTGTGGCGAAAGCTCAAATCGGATGGGACACAGTTATCAGGCCAAAAACGAAATTGGCATCTGTTGAACTTAGCGAAGAACAACGACTTGAACGCTTGATCGTTTAGACTTTAATGTTTATTAATTGGGACTATTATAATTAGAATTTTAAGTGCCTTTGTCTACGTGGGACGTTAGTTTAATTGTTATAATTATTGAGTATCACTCGTCGAACAATGGATGTTTAAGTTTATAAACTACATTTTAATCAACAACGTGAACAGTACGTAAAACAGTAAAACAAAGATGGCGTGATCTAAAGTTCAAAGTACTTTGTCATACGTCACATGCAGTTCTATTTTTCGCATACATTGAATTATATTAATTGAACCTCCCTCTCGAAAAATATGAGCTAAAATATATATAACGTGTTCTTTAAACGTTCAATATTAAACTAAAGAATCTTTCCAACTCCCATAGGTTCTCTCAAGCGTTGAAACATTGATTTTCCTGATGGTTTAGTCAACAATTAAGTCCGCTAACATTTCTTCCATAGGACAGTAGTCTAGAACAACTTCCTTCTTTGCAACTTTATCACGTATGAAGTGGTGTTTTATATCGATATGCTTTGTTCTGGGATGATACTTAGGATTCTTTGACAAAGCTATTCCTCCTTGATTATCCTCTTTGATCATCGTTGGCTTGTTTTGAACAAAACTGATATTTTGGAGTAACGCTCGTAACCAAACTGCTTCCTGACACGCTAATGATGCAGCGACATACACCGCTTCAGTTGAAGAAAGCGCGACAACACCTTGTTTCTTACTAGCCCAACTGATTACTCCTCCACACAGTGTAACAAATATCTTGATTGGATTACTTCCCCAATCGGCATCAACAAGACCATTCAACTGTACTTCAGTTTCTTTGTTTCCATCGAATGTAATTCCGTAATGAATTGTTCTTTTGATGTATCATAAAATTCTTTTAGCTGCTGCCCACTAGTGTTCAATTTCTGGGTTTGAACAAAATTGATTAACCAAACCTAACGTTCGAGCGAGGCTAGGTCTAGTACCAGTTACCGCATAAGTTAATCCTCCGATTAAGGCTTGATACTTGGGTTTTTAAACTGGTCCTCCTTTGTTAGGTAGTAATTTAGAGCCTTGGTCAACAGGCGTTGCAGCTGGTTTGCATTTTTCTATTCCAAACTTCTTTAACAAGTTCGTGAGATGCTGTGATTGATGTAATCTCATTCGTTTCTTGGTTCTATCTCGTTCTACTTGAATACCAAGGCAATAATGAACTTCTGGGAGATATTTCATTTCGAAACGCTTCCTCGACGCTTCTCTCTCTTACTATTACTAGCTGGTATCAAGTCATCGACGTACAAGGCTATGAGCATGATATCATCTCCCTCTCGCTTTATGTACAGAGAAGGGTCCGAGCTTGATTGTACATAGGCAGAATTCTTTAAGTTTTGATCGACCGTGTTGTACCACACCTTGATGACTGCTTCAAGCAGTAGATACTTTAGTTTTATTTGCAAACTAATTAACTCTTCCTCACCTTCTTTCACGTATCCTTCTGGTTGCTTCATGTATATTTCTTCTTCCAATTCACCGTTCAAGATCGCCGTAGAAACGTCCATTTGATGTACTTCAAAATCTAACTGGTTAGCCATTGTCAATAATGAACGAATAGATGTATACTTCGCTACAGGAGGAAAGGTTTCATCATAATCTAATCCAAGTTCTTGTGAGTATCCTTTCGAAGATCCTGAAAGTGTTCTGATTAGGTATTATACCGACACGAAATCGTTGCTGTTTCAAGGCGATCGAGGTAAGAAAATCAAGAACTTTTTAATCGGAAAGATTGCGAGTATTTCGCAACCCGGCGGAGATAAACATTCTTCAAGGTCAAGCGAGCAAAATAGTACAAGTATACACGATGATAGCATCGTATTAGTTAACAGCCCAAGTCAGACGCTTAGTGAACGTCACGATGAGGATGAATATGCTCTAAATTTAAGTGAGTTTGAATCTGTGAACACCATATCGGTAGATAATTCTAGTCAGACATATGAAATAGAGTCGACTGAATATCATTCAACTCGGATTAGTCGAGAATGCAATTGCGCATGCAGTCAATCCTCTAAAGATATTGAAATTTGAAATCTACAATTACTAAGCTACAATCGTCAATTGACTCATTCGAGATTATATTGAAGGATCATGACTCAGTCCTTTCCATGTACAATAGGGCTGCAGATATGAATGACAAATACTTAAAAGAGATAAATGAGAGTAAACAGCATATAGTATATCTCGAACAGAAATTGCTTGAGACAAGTCAAGAAAGAGATTCTCTACAATTAGCTACTAGGCTTATTGCCCAGGACAAATACTGTCATCATCATACAAGTCAGAATGAGGTAGCTGAAACCGCTGCTAGAAAAAAAGATAATGTTTGGCAGAAAGTGCATAATACTAATAACAATGGTGTGTATCATAACAAGCAAACTAAGCAATTAACAAGAACTGACATTGGCACCGCAAACAGATTTGAATTATTAATTAACGAGGATGGAAACAATTATAGCTGTTGTGAACCGGAACAGGAACAGAATCACAAGAGCTCACAAGCAAGAAATACACAATCGACTCACGACCCCAGCGATCATTCCCAACTAGACAGTAATGTTGATCAATCCGCTCAACACGTCAGGTCTCCACAACAAACATCTACCTCTAGTTCTCTTTCCAAACAAACCCCAAATAGGGGTCTGAATGGAAAGCAAGGTGGCAAACGGCATAATGGCGATCGTAAGAATCAAAAGTCTGGACACTCATCTCGCAAAGTAACTATTGTCGGAGATTCAATGTTGAAGAACCTGAAGGGTTACAGGATGTCTAAAGAAAACAAAGTCAAAATATCTACATTTCCTGGTAGTACCATTAGAGATATGTACGACTACATTAAACCTGTTCTGAGAAAGAAACCCGACCAAGTAATTATACACGTAGGTACAAACAGCCTACGAGAATCTGAAAGCCCCACATCCTGTGCAGAGGAAATTGTTGAATTAGCTAAATCGGTGGAACAGACAGATGGAAAGGAAACGGAGGTAATTATATCAAGCTTAATATTCAGATCAGATGATAGTAGACTTGGGAAACAAATTGATGAAGTGAACTTAGCGTTAAGTAAGTTATGTCGACAACACAATTGGACACTAATAGACCACTCAAATATTACACAAAAACATTTAAATCGAAGTGGTCTGCATTTGAGTAGAGACGGAACTACTCAATTAGCTCGTAATTTTTTAAATATCATAAATCATAATAATAATTGAAATATTGCCGGATGGGAATCCCTAATCTCTGTGCTTCCAGATGATAATAATGATAAAACTGAAGATACACCTTTAACTATCGGTCATAACGTCTATGGACGTGGCTTAGTGATGGCCTCGTTAAATATAAATAGCCTTTTAGCTCACATTGACGAACTTAGGGTGTATATGAATAATGGTAAAATAGATGTGCTAGCAATTAACGAAACTAAATTAGATTCAACGATTGAGAATAGTGACATCCATATCCCTGGATATGAGATAATTAGGAAAGATCGAAAAATTAATGGTCGGAACGGTGGAGGTGTCTGTATTTTTGTGCGATCCAATATTAATTATATAACGCGAGATGACTTGAATTCCGAAAATTTAGAATGTCTTATAATAGAAATTACCAAACCACGGTCAAAATCGTTGATTCTTGGCACATGGTATAGACCACCCAACTCTCCAATTAGTTATCTAGATGATTTTGAAAATATTATTGGAAAGCTGGACTCAGAAAATCAAGAGATGTGTATATTAGGTGACATTAACATAGATCTTATGCATGAACCGATCTCGGCCAATGCTGTAAAACTGAATTCCATACTAGATATTTATGGTATGGATCAGCTAATAACCGAACCTACAAGAATTACTAATTGTTCTCAAACCTTGATTGATCTATGTTTCACAAATGTACCATCAAAAATAATAAAATTCGGCGTTAACCACATATCTATTAGCGATCATTCACTTGTGTTTATGACTTATAAAACTAATATAGAACGTACCGGGACGCGCACAATAAAAACTCGTTGTTTAAAGAATTTCAATAGAGATAATTTTCTTAGAGACTTGGAACAAAAGCGGTGGTGGGATGTTAACACAAATACTGATCCTAATGATATGTGGGACACGTGGAAAAGTTTATTAATGGAGTGCATTGACAAGCACGCACCATCTCGCTCCAAAAGAGCAGGCAAAAAAAAATCGCCGTGGATAACAAGCCAATTGTTACGACATATGCATAAACGAGATTATCTGAAGCGGAAAGCAACATTGGCCGATGATCAAACTTTATGGGAAGAATATAGGGTTGCTCAAAATCGTACCAATAACGAAATTAGAAAAGCAAAGCAAGAGTATTTTATAACGAATTTGGAAACTGCTAAAACAAATCCAAGAAAAACATGGAAATTAATTAACGAACTAAGCTCGCGTAATTATAATAAGTCAAGTATCATTAACGAGATTAAAGTAGACGGAAAAACAATAAATACACCTGCAAATATAGCTGAAGCTTTTAACAATCACTTCTCAAATATTGGTGAGAATCTAGCCTCAGAGATACCCATTTCTAACGTCAACCCTGAAGACTATTTAGAATCAACTGAGCAGAGATTTTCCATTAGACCTCCTCCGGTTGATATGGTTTATATTCTGTTGAGTAAAATTAACGAACGAAAAGCTCCAGGTCTCGACAACATTCCTAATAAGCTGTTAAAAATAGCAGCTGCAATAATCTCACCATCATTAACTGATATATTTGCCAGATCAATTAACACTGGCATATTTCCATCCGAGTGGAAAATGGCTAGAGTAACACCAATATTTAAGAAAGGAAAAAGGAATGATCCGATAACTATCGACCAATATCAGTTATTTCAGCTGTAGCCAAAATCTTCGAAAAATCAATCTTTGAGCAACTTTATAATTACTTCAGTTCTAACAGCTTGTTAACGCATTGCCAGTCCGGTTTCAGGTCGTTACATAGTACACTTACTGCTCTTCTTGAAGCCACTAGTAACTGGTCAGTTAATATTGACAATGGCCTCTTCAATGGAGTAATATTTATCGACCTTAAAAAAGCATTCGATACTATTGATCATCAGATATTACTGCGGAAGCTTCGAATTTACGGTATGGATCAATTAAGTCTCGAATGGTTTCAGTCTTATTTGACCGGTCGATCTCAGAAATGTAATGTTAGAGGTTGCTTGTCATCATCTGCATCAGTTACACGTGGTGTACCACAGGGAAGTAACTTAGGACCATTACTCTTCCTTATGTATATTAACGACCTTCCTAATTGTCTCAGTGCAGCAGTACCGAGAATGTTTGCTGATGATACGAACATTAGTTATGCGGCCAACACTATCGCCGAACTAGAAAATGTTATTAATTCGGAATTAAAAAAATTGAAAAGCTGGTTGGAAGCGAACAAATTAAGCCTTAATATCGCCAAGACAGAATTTATGATAATAGGATCTCGACAACGTATGCATGTGCACACTAACGAAAATATCAATATTGACCTGGATGGTCATGTGATTAAACAAGTTGATGAGGCAAAATCACTAGGTGTAATTATTGATAAAAATCTGTCTTGGTCTAAACACATTGATATGAAGTGTAAAAAGATTTCTTCCGCTATAGGTGCTCTTAAGCGAATAAAACCATTTATATCAACTGAAACAGCAATCCAAATTTACAACGCTATAATTCAACCTCACTTTGATTACTGTAGTCCCATTTGGGACGAATTTGGCGCAACATTATGTGAAAAAATGCAAAAATTGCAGAATAGAGCTGCTAGAGTGATTACGAAATCCAACTACGATGTCAGCTCTAGCATTCTCTTAGAGAAACTGCATTGGGACAATCCATCCTTACGTAGGAAAAAGCACAAGTCTATACTAATGTTTAAAACTATCAATAAGCTAACGCCAGAGTATTTACAAAACATGTTTACATTTCGCAGCACAGATTATAACTTAAGAAATGCAGAAATTAAGCTAAATTTACCAAAACCACGTACGGACTTTATGAAGCGTAGTTTCTACTACAGTGGAGCAAGTTTATGGAATGCGCTTCCTCAAACTGCACGTACGTACAAATCATTGAGGCATTTCAAAAATGAAATTAATCAATTCTTGACATTATAATGGGATCCCCACACGGCAATCTTGGAAAACAGTGCATTTTAGTTAGGAAATTAGTGTGTATATAGTGATGTGTGAAATTTATTAATAGTTTTTGTATTTTATTCTACACTGAAGATTTTACCGTGTTTAAATAAATGTTCAATGTTCAATGTTCAAAACGAGCTTTGTAGCGCAATACAGACGTCGACCCATCCGCGTTGTATTTAACTTTAAATATCCATCGACAATCAGTATATTTACAACCTTCAGGCAGATTCGCTAATGTCCATGTATTGTTCTTAATATTAGCTGAATATTCATTGTCCAGAGCTTGTTTCCATTGTTCTTAAAGCTTCCCTTATAGTTGTAGGCTCTTCTGGACTGGACTCACTATTAACACATGGAACATTATTTTGCCACCAATTGCCCAGTAATTGGGGGAGGGGGGGTGGGGTGAAAAGGTTTTCGGATCGTCGGATTTCACAGAAAAAAATGTTCGGATTTCGGATCTGGCGAATATTTTACACGGATTTGCGGATCTTATTAATACAGCGGATTGCGGATTTATTTCGGATTGTGGATTTAGCTTGCAATTTAGTTCGGATCCTGGATTGTGACTTCATAAAAGATCTTTTAGCGGATTCAAATTTAGACAAGACCATTGTCGGATTGCGGATTTTGCTTCAAATTTGGGCGGATCGGCGGATTTGTATACCCCTAATCACCCCCCCCCCCCCAGGGATTACTACACCATGTCTATCTGGTGGTTCTCGTTTGCGCTTTGAACGTCGTGGTAGCTGCTCCACGGTTTCTCTACTGGTGCTCGGTTCTTCAGTACTTTCATCATGATCAACTGTGTCTTGATCTCCTGGAATAACATGCTCGGAAGATGGTTTGTTCTCTTGCGGTCCTTTTTGGTCGTCAGGGGCGGAATCATTCAAGTTTACAATTTACATAAATTTCCTTTGTTGAATAAATTTATCTTCTTCAAATAAAACATCCCTGGATAATCATGGACATCCCATCCGAGTCTTAGGATTATAAAATCTATATCCCATACTTATATCCAGCAAATATACATTTCTTGGTCTTCGAATCCCATTTCTTTCCGGTTTCTTTAGGAACATGCATGTATGTCTTGCATCCGAACACATTAAAATTGGACACGTCCGGTTTCTTACCATTAAAGGATTCATATGGGGACACATTGTCCACTGCAACTGTAGGACAACGATTTCTAACAATAACTGCTGTGCATACTGCGTCAGCCCAAAATTTCGTATCCAGTCCAGCATTATGTATCATAGATCGTGCAGTTTCCTGAATAGTTCTATTCATGCTTTCTGCTACTGCATTCTGTTGGGGAGTTCTAGGTACACTAAGTTGGTGCTGGATTCCCTTTTCTTGAAGGTAATTAACACATTCTTTTGAGGTGTACTAACCGCAATTATCCGATCGAAGAATCTTTATTTTCTTTCCTGTGATATTAGAGACCATTGCTTCGTATTCTTTAAATTTCTCAAGCATTTGATCCTTGATTTTCATGAAATAAACTGCTGTGGATTTCGATCTATCATCAATAAAATTCCCAAGGTATTTATTACCGCAGAGACTGTTCTCTTGCATTGGTCCACAGACATCTCTGTGAATAATTCTGAGAATTTTACTAGCTTTTACTACAATCCTGGCAAAAATTATTGTGGACACCGCGCGTGCGTCAAACAAAAATAGATGTATTTCTACAGAATTAATCCCCAGAAAATTTCCCCCCCTCCTACCCCCAATTCAATGTTGGTAAATGCAACTTTTAAAATTCAAATGGGAGAAACAACATTGAATAGGGGGCAGGGGGCGAGAAATTTCATGAAAGAACGTCTCAATGTTAACATTGGCGTTAGAAAAGTTAGGTGTCCACATAATTTTTGCCCGGATTGTAGCTCTAGAAACGAAGCAGAAAAAAATCATCATAGCGCCGATAGCGACAGATAGTAGCAATGTAAATTTTCACTTTTTTTGACAATTTTTTGCACACTTTCAATGGAAAATCGTACCCGAATATAACAATTTAAGTACAAGGAGCAAGATAAACTAAAAAGGTTTGCTAACGAGCAATTAAAACAATGCTTAAATGGCATAGCTGGTGTTATCTAAACGTGTAAATTTTCATATATATTATTAACAGGTAATAGTAGGTTTCTCATTCAATTTGGAAAAACGTACACCCGTGAGGTTTTCAAAGACTTGATCGTCTTCGAAAAACTCAGTCGTTCATGTTTTCTCGAAATTGCACTCGAAACCATACTATTACATAGGGGCTGATTACATGGAGAATTTTCAGCCGGTTAAACGAGCTGAAATTACATCCAGTGGGTAGCCAGCTCGACAATTTAGTCCCGCTATGCAAATTCAAAATTATTATCATTATTCATTTCTTTAGAAATTGATTGTTTTCACAGTCAATGAACATGGAAATATTTGCATAGCGGGACCAAATAGTCGGGCTGGCTACGCTACTGATTACATCATCACAATTACATGAGCCGTTTGAGCTCGGGCTGAGTTTAGTCAAAGCTATATTTATAGTCAATCCAGACTGCAATGTCAGCCCGGGCTGAAATGATCTGAGTGTCACGAAATAGGACAATAAGCCCGTTACGCTTCTTTGAAGTATTCAGTCGCTGATTAGTCGACTATTTTACTTGTGTAAGACTGTGGTTATATGCAAAGTATTTAAAGATGAAACAAACACGCAAATGCTGCCGATCTTGGTCATGTTACTGCTTGCTGTGTTTTAATAGGATTTTATCCTTAGCCGGGCTGAAATTTCAGCCCGGCGTAGTATTAAGTGAGTTTCAGCCCGGAAACTCAGCCCGGGCTGAAAACTCTTTATGTAATCAACCCCTTATACAAATATACTTCTAAATCAATTTGAATATGCTGTACTTATCCTGTTGTAGCTATTCCTTCATTTATTGTGGGCTTTTGCTTTTAGGAGGATAAACGCTGCTTGAACTGGAAGATGAGCAGAACGGCCATGTGGTTAGAATTCACAGACAAGGCTGACTTCTGGCTACCCCCACCATACAATATTCTGCATTATCTAATTTATTTTGTCATGCATATAAAGGTGTGTATATATGCCGTATAGATTCAACTTGTTTACATGTTTACTACATACAGCACCGCTATGCAGAAATAACCTAAAACTGTGGTTGCAACTTTTTCCGGGTTTTTAAGTTTTAGACAGTTTCTTACGATTGATACTCCATCCTAACTTCGTTCCCAGGTTATTCACCGTTTTTCAATATTGTTGAAACGAAGGCTAAACATTTAGCAATGTAGTATAAATATATAACAGACCCAAGTCATCAATATCATCATCCCGTTTGTCCCTTTAAGAAGGTTGGGTTGCCTCGTCATTTTCCTCCACTGTCGTCAACTTTTTCCAGATTCTCCACTCTACCAGGGTCCCGCACACAATCCATTCACTGCTTCGTTTGTCGACATCTCTTCCTTGTTCTTGATTTCTTACACACCGCAACCCGTCTATTCTCTTCACGCGACCATATCCTCTTAGTCTACTTTCTCGTATCTTCACTCTCAGTCCCGCCACCTTCAATTCCTTTCTTATGTTTTGGTTTTTCATTCTCTCTCGCCTCCTTGTTATTCCTTTTCATTGTTTACGCCTTGCAGCTATCCACTATTTCCAAATTCTTCACTTGTTCTTCCATCACTGCCCAAAACTTTGCGAAATATAAAATCGCAGGTCTCACCATCGTTTTGTACACCTGCGTTTTCATTCTCATTGCCGTCCGTTTGTCAAATATTATTTCACTAATATCCATCCATGTGTTCCCTGTTATACCAATTGACGTACCAAGAATGTTGAAGTATATCGTCTCTACATCGCTTCGAACTTACGCGACAATCTATACAAGCGCGGTTGGCAGTACACACTAAATATCGGTTTTTGTTCTTGGCGGTATATAACAATTTTTTTATCTGTGCATGCCTAGTGATATTTTATGATTTCCTGCAATCTCATTGGCTGCAGGAGTCCTAGTGGTCAGCGTTTTACGGTATCTTAACCGTGGTCCAAAAGAGTTCGTTTTTAACGACAAACCGAGGAGTGAAGACAATTTTCAAACTCAAAACACTACCCATATTAAAAAGTTGAAAAATGCCGCCCATCGATACTAATGATAGTAAAATACAGTGAATTGACTTAAATGGACTTTGGGCAAAGCCTGAAATGTACTTTCCACCGACCGGCCGAATGCGAAAAAACAAATACAAACATTGAAAAACACACATATTCAGCTATATATACGTAGAAATAGAAATCCAAAAACCATGACCAGGCAACAATTTAATAAAAAACTAAAGTAAAAAACAAATTCCGAAAAGACAAGACACTTTGAGAATACAATATATGATTCAAAACAAAACGCAGGTTAAGACTGTAAATTTCCGACTTTATTACAAAGTCATCTTCTTCCATGGCTATAATGAAATGCCGATAAAGTTCCACTTGTGAAGTAAATTTGAGATCTATTGCGTTTGTTACTTTAGCGCAAGCATGGATAGCTGACAAACTGCTAAAACGACGCGATAGAAGCTGGGTAAAAAGCTTTTAGTCTTATTGCAATAGATGCTTTTCTACTCAACAAGAAAACAGAAGGCAAAATTAGCATGAATATTTATTTTCCGATTCGTTTTACAGCATGGACATGCTTGAAAAATGCATTTTGACAAAAAAATGAAAAACACTTTGTTGAAAAACATATTATGGGAGATTGAAAAACATATTATGGGAGATTTTAACATTAATTTCATGAATTATCAATGTCACAATAAAACAGGCGAGTTTGTGGATAGCATTTTTTCTAACATGTTATATCCACGTATTACTCGTCCAACCAGAATTACAGCGCACACTGCCACATTAATTGATAATATACTTTCAAATAATTTTGAATGTAATACAAAAAATGGACTTTTTTTTTCAGACATATCTGACCATTTTCCAATCTTTTCTATAGTATTCGAAAATAAAAATAATCAAGTCAAAGACGATACTGTAACTTATCGAGATAAAAGCTCAAATAATATTGAAAAATTTCAGGAACTTTTAGCGAATTTGAACTGGTCCTCGATAGAAGATTCGGGTGATCCAGCACACGCGTACATGATATTTCACAAAATGTATTCAAATATTTATAACGATTGTTTTCCAGTAAAAACAATAAAAAGAAAATCCAAATTTTATAAGCCTTGGATTTCTAAAGGTATTTTGAAGTCCATAAAGAGGAAAAATAAGCTTTACAAATCTTTTTTACAAAACCGAAATCCTATAGCCGAGAGTAAATATAAGGTCTACAAAAATAAATTAACACATTCAATTAGAATTGCTAAACGTATTTATTTTGATATGAAACTGAATGAAAATAAATCAAATATGAAAGCAACATGGAAAATATTGAATAGTATTATAAATAGAAAAAATACGAAATCAAAGATTAATTCTATTTTTAAACTGGATGGAAGAGTAACGTCGGATGCATTTGAGATTTCCAATCAATTTTGCAATTACTTTAGTAATATAGGACCCTCGCTAGCTAGGAAATTCCAACATCGCTAGTTCCTGTTAAGTCATTTTTGTCTGGGCAATTTTCGAATACTGTTTTTCTTCAACCGGTGTCAGAAAATGAAATAAAAAATATAACTAAAGCTTTCTCATCCGAAAAAGCTGCCGGATATGACAATATTTCAATGTCCATTGTCAAATTAACTATCAATTATATTTCAAGACCTTTAACACATATTGTAAATTTATCTTTGTCGCAAGGTTTTGTTCCAGATGAAATGAAAATAGCTCGAGTCATTCCTTTGTATAAGTCTGAGGATAAATCCTTTGTTAAAAATTATAGACCAATTTCCATTTTACCTGTGTTTTCAAAAATACTGGAAAAAGTATTTTACAACCGAATACTAAACTATTTGAATAAAAATGAAATTCTATATGCAAATCAGTATGGTTTTAGAAAGGGTCATTCAACTGCATCAGCCCTTCTTGATTTATACGACAAAATATCTGAGGCAATTGATAAAAAGGAAGTCGCTGTTGGAGTTTTCTTAGATCTGTCTAAGGCCTTTGACACGGTGAACCATAACATTCTTTTTGAAAAATTGGAGTATTATGGTGTACGTGGCATAGCGCTGAGTTGGATAAAAAGCTATTTTTCTAATCGGAAACAATTTGTTCAGTTTAATAATTCATTTTCTACCTCGAAGAATATAACATGTGGAGTACCACAGGGGTCTATTTTAGGTCCTCTTTTGTTTTTGATATATATAAATGATATTTGTAATGTTTCGACTCTTGCAAAACTGATCTTATTTGCTGACGATACAAGTTTGTTCTTTTCTCATAGGGATCCGGTTTACTTGGTAAATATGATAAACCAAGAGCTGGAAAAATTCTCGATTTGGCTTAGGACAAATAGATTATCTTTAAACTTGGATAAAACAAAATTTATGATTTTTAAACCTAGACAAAAATTATTGGAATTAGATGTGAAACTATTATTAAATGATAGAGAAATTGATCAAGTGGAAAAAATCGTTTTCTTAGGAGTTATTTTAGATGACAAACTTTCTTGGAAATCTCATATTAGTCATGTGTCAACGAAGATTTCAAAATCAATAGGAATAATACGTAAATCTAGTTTTTTTCTTTTGAAACAATCATTGTTTACTTTGTATTACTCATTGGTGTACCCATACCTGCAATATTGCAATATTGTTTGGGCATCTACGTATGCATCCAACCTGTTTCGTTTGGTAGTTCTTCAGAAACGTATTGTTAGAATTATGAATAATAGTACATTTGATTCTCATACAAGCATGATCTTTAAAAACCTTCGATTATTGAAATTTAGTGACATATGTAAATTGCAAACATGTCAATTCATGTTTTTGTATATAAAAAATCTTGTACCAGAACATTTTAAAAATATTTTCCTATTAAATAGCCAAATACATAATTATAATACTAGAAGAGCAAATGAATTTCACATTGTAACTCCTAGAACAAATCTACGTCAATTCTCTATAAAATACCAAGGCCCATTTCTCTATAACAGTTTAGACAATGATATTGTGAATAGTGTATCGCTTTCTTCCTTTACAAAGAAATTAAAAAAACTTTTCTGCTCCATGTATAATTAACTAAGCTTACCATTGTTATTTATTTTGGAATAAGCTTATAATTAGTGTGAATTCTTAAACGAGAGGGGGTTTGATAATTTTAATAAGCCTAATTGGTTTCCTATATCAAACCTCCTCGTCACATAGGCTTTTAAGTAAATATTCATTATTTTGTTTGAAAACATTATCTTTCTTGTTATTATTTAACTTACATTATTTGACATTTTTTTTTGTAAATAATTGTTGTGTGTGACAAAATTTATTATTAAACATTAAACATTAAACATTAAAACATTATATTGCGAACACGCGGATGTCACGTGCACGTCGATCAACCACAAATAATCAAGTAATTCAATGTTGAATGATTCAAAAAATGATGTTGCTTTCTCTGTTATTTAAATTGTGACGGGCAATGGCCATGGTCAATATTGTCTTGGCATTGAAAATTTGAAATCAGTGATCATTGGATCGGCAACGTGTTAAAATGGTCATCGCCAGCTGGCGGTGATATATTATTATTATTATTATTATTATTATAATTCATTTATATAGCGCCATTTCCCATAGCTCAATAGCGCTTAACATCAAGTGTTAAAAATATATACTAAGTGTTAGAACATAGTGCATGCATTGACTACTAAAATTACTATACTAGATAAAATTACTAAAAAATAATTATATGCTCTTCTCGTTAAGAATATAAAATTACTTTATGTTATCTATGTTGATAATATTAAAACAACAACTATATAGAATACTATAAAATTGCTAATAATCTTGTTAAAATAATAACTTAGTCATAATACTGTCTAAAAAGATGTGTCTTTAATCTGGTTTTAAAAATAGGCAAGGTCTCACTCTTTCTAATATACTCTGGCAGTTCGTTCCACAGTTTCGGTGCAGCATATGAGAACG